ACCAAAAAAAAACTAACCACACACAACCAAGTTCCCGCAGCCGAGGCAACTTTGGTGATGACGGACACGTGGCCTTTTGGCACGAGTCAGGGTTTCCTAAATTTCTCCAAATAAAATATTTAGGTGGCGACTCTGTATCTGGTAAAGCAGTCCATGTTTGGCACTTCTTTCAAAAAATCTTTTTCTCAAAACGATTTGCCGGATTTGGACTCTTTGGTTCAGACTTAAAACCGTGACAATTTTAAGAGTCCTGAGCTGTAGTGATCCCCAAATGAACAGAACGGGAGCTCACCCTCCCAGGGCGTTCGGGGACGTTTACAGTTTCTGGCGACTCTGCTGGGGATTTAGAGAACTTGACTCGAACTCATGATATCTGTTTTTTACTACACTTGTGTGTTTCTTTGCATTTGCATTTGCATTGGTGCGCCTAGGACGCCGTGTTTGCCATCTGCTATTCCTGAACTGTTTGCCAGAGGCTTGTTTTGTCAAGGCATGACCATAAGGCTGACCGGTTGTGGGCTCTGCCAGTATGGGAACACAAACCCCGGTTTTACCGGGGCACCCTCTTTGACCATTCGACCTAGTGCATATTCGGATCCATAGTGACTATTCCAAACTAGGACAGGTGGCTTACCCGTTTATAGGTTGTTTGAAACCGCTGCGTGCGTAGTGAAACCCTAGCTCCTGACAAGATGGGACAGGGAAACCCTACCCCAACATAGGGGTGTTTTGGCTCTCACTTATCTGTTATGTGCTTTAGAGTGCGTCTCTACAGGAATGCATGTATCAGTATATGAGTTTGGGCATCAGGCCTGCGGGCATCAGTTCAGTATCGTCAGTATCAGGCCTGCGGGCATCAGTTCAGTATTGTCGGTATCAAGCCTGCGGGCATCAGTTCAGTACATGAGTTTGGGTATCAGGCCTGCGGGCATCAGCCAGTATTTGAGGATCAGTTATCTGTGGATATCAGATTCTGTTTTTTTGGGGACAGTGATACAGGGATAATAATCAGTGTTTGAGGACAGTGTGTTATTCAGCTTATTTACTATGTGTTGATTATGCCCGGCTGTGTGTCATGCATTTTATTTTAAGCTGTTATGCTGTCCGTTTATCTGTTTATTTATTTCCTTTTCGCTTTATTTATCTTTTGCTAGGTCAGTTTTTAGCACAATTGCTTCCAACCCAGCAGGCATTCCCCAAGCACTTTGGACACGAGGTCGTCGACTCCATCGATCCGAGGATCTAATCGACGGACAGCCAGTGTTCCATTCTCTACCCCCTGTTACTAGAAGGAAACAGAAAAAGCGCAGTGTATCCGAACAGAGAGCACCAGAATAGTGGTTTCCCCCATCAGTGGACAGTTGGATTGAGATCCCCATTGAGACAGATCTGCCAGTAGTTCAGACAAATTAGAACAGTATGACGGCGCCAACAGGAGTTGAGGAAATGATTCGCCAAATGCAGGAAACCATGCGGGCCATGCAGCAGGATGCCGTTCGCCGGGATGAACTCGCTAAGCAACAGGCCGAAATTATGACCCAGCAGGCTGAGCTGATTACCAGACTGCAACAACAAAACACAGCATCTGCTTCACACCAAATCCCTCCTCCGGCGAGGGCTCCATTACCTGAGCAGACGCCTGCTGTTCAGAACGCTCCTCCAAACACCCAGAATACTATACCGACTATCCAAAACCCGCAAGAGGACACCAATCTTCCAACGGGGCCAGCTCCGCCCCCGCTTCCACCACAACTGTCCAAGGTCCATACATCCAATCACCCGGACTCTCCCTTCGAGGTCGAGGTTGATCATACAGCTCTGAAATTGAGCAAACTGGAGAAGCTCTTTAAGAAATCCCAGGGGGTCAAGGCTATGCCGGATATCGAAGACGGATATACCGAGGAGGCCGTAACACTCCCCGATAGGCTCAAAATGCCACAAATCGACCGCTTTGACGGGTCCGGCGACCCCATGGTCAATATCCGACTGTTTGCAGACATCTTGCGGCCAATGGGCCTAACACGACCACAGAAGCTTTCACTATTCGGTCGAACCCTATCAGGTGTGGCCTCCCACTGGTACGCAAGATTACAAGATGAAGTGAAAAAGAATTGGGATGAAATGGCTGAGGCCTTTGTCGCGCAATATTCATACAACACTCAGATCGAGATCACAACCCGTGA